TCGAAAGTCAAATATAAATTATTTTAAAGTATGAGGCTGTTTGGCTCATGTTAGCTTATCAAATCAACATTTGACTAAGATTGGCTATAGAGGAGTAGATTGTGTATTTAATGGTTATTCACAAACCAGTAAGACTTATGATTTTTGAATCTTGAGACCCCAAGCCCTCACACAATTATTGAATCGTTGCATTCTAACTTTTTTGAGTATATATTTCCTAAGAAGAAAGAATCTTTGGAACAAGATACAAGTTGTTCTATATCTCCTCTTAAAAGAAAAATAGTTGAGCCTTTGGAAGAAAGTCAACCAAGACGTAGTGCAAGATCAATCAAATCAAGAGACTTCGGACCTAATTTTCAATCCTATTTAGTTGAATAGGATCCAGAAAGTTATGCTGAAGCAATGTCTTCACATGATGCTCCTTTCTGGTTTGAAGCTATTGATGATGAAATGCACTCTATTATGTCAAATAATACATGAATTTTATCAGACCTTCCTCCTACCTCCCTCTTGGATGTAAGTCTATTGATTGTAGATGGATCTTTAGAAAGAAATTAAAATTTGATGGTACCTTAGATAAGTACAAAGCTCGCTTGGTAGCAAAAGATTTTACTCAATTGAAAGATATTGATTATTTTGATACCTTTGCGCCTGTAGCTCGAATGACTTATATTCGACTTTTGATTGCTTTAGCCGCAATTCATAGTCTAGTAATACATCAAATGGATTTGAAGACTGCATTTCTGAATGAAGATCTAGATGAAGAAGTTTACATGAAACAACCAGAGGGATTTGTTGTTCCTGATCAAGAACACAAAATTTGTAAGCTTCTTAAATCACTTTATGAATTAAAACAAACTCCAAAACAATGGAATGAGAAACTTAGACGAATAATGATTTCTAATGGCTATTCAATCAATGGTGGTGATAATTACATATTTAGTAAATTTCAAAACAAATCTAGTGTTATAATATGTCTTTATGTAGATGATATGTTGATCTTTGGAACTGATATTGAAAGAGTCAAAAAAACAAAAAAAATTCTAGCTTTTCAATTTGAAATGAAAGATCTTAGAGAAGCTGATGTAATTTTGGGTATTAAAATTATGAGATCAGCGAATGGTTTGACTCTTACTCAATCAAGTTATATTGAGAAAGTTCTAAAGAGGTTTGGTCACTTTGACGACAAACCTGCTCCTACACCATTTGATCCTAGCATCAAATTAATGCGAAACTCTAGTTATGTTCTTGATCAGCTGACATATTCTCAGATTGTTGGGAGTCTTATGTATGCCATGCATTGTATCATGCCGGATATTGGTTACGCAGTAGAAACTTTGAGCAAGTTTACTAGTAATCCTGGAGTTGAACATTGGAATACCTTTATTCGTGTTTTAAGATACCTGAAGGGTACGATTAATGTTGGCCTACATTATTCTACATTTCCAGTTGTTCTTGAAGGCTATAGAGATACTACTTGGAATTCTAATCCGATGACTCTAAATTTATTGCTGCTTGAATTTTCACTTTGGCTGGAGCAACGATCTATTGGAAATTAAAGAAGCAAACATGTATTACTCACTCAACCATGAAGTCAGAATTTATAGTCATGTCTTCTGTTGGAGAAGAAGCTGATTGGCCGCGATCTATGCTGATAGACATTACTTGTGGAATAATCCAGTACCACCTTTAACTATTTATTGTGATAATCAAGTTGCTATATTTCGGACTTCAAGTGATTGTTACAATGGCAAGTCGAGACAAGTTCGTCTCAAACACAATCATGTGAGGAGATTATTGGAGGAAGGCATAATATCACTTAAATATGTGAAGTCCAGGTTTAATTCAGTAGATCCTTTGTCTAAAGGGTTAGGCAAAGAGTTAGTGGTGAAAACTTGTAATGGAATGGAAATAAAGCCTGTTGTAAATTAATTGTACTTTATGGTATCCCTACCTAATGATGTAATCTTGGATTCAAAGGGAAAAACAAGTAAAGTTACAATTGTGAAGCACATCAATACAATTTTCATTTTCAAATAAAATGAAATAAGTAGATGTGTATGATTGAGATTCTTTTCTCTTAATAAATTTATTAGACCGATCTCAATTGGAGTTAGTAAGAAAACTCTTGATGATTTTTTTTGATATTCCTACTAAAGAGAAGGATGAGATTATATTCACTTAATAAGTCTATAAACCGATTTCGATTGGAGTGTGTAGGAATACTCTTGATAGATTTACCGATACTTTGCTGTAAAGGAGGATGATATTAATTTCTCTTAATGAAATTCATAGACTATTTGGTCAAAGTATGCAAAGTTACTCTTGATGAATTCACCACATGACTAAGTGCGAAGTGGAGGCCGCTTCAATAAGATTTTAACAGGAAAATCTTAAAGCACTTGGCTAAAAGGATTCAGGACACATGGTCGTAAGGTGTCAAAGGATTTCGATTTTCACCTGAACATAGTGATATGCGTGGAGTATTTTTCTATTTCATTCAATGAACCACTTAGTTCAAGATTCGTTCACTAACTAGTCAATGATTTAGAAAGCCTTCACTAGCTAATGGTTCAAGTCCAAAAGACACCATTATTGATGCATGTTGCTAGATTAATATCTCAAAATATTTTTTAGATTTTTCAAAGATAAAATTTCTTGAAACAAGTGGGGGATTGTAAGAGTTAGTGTTTCAATTAATTTTGAAACAAATTCATCCGTTAAAAGGTTTGAGATTACAAAATACATGAATGTGAGTTGTAACATTCATTTTTGTTTTAATTCTACGTTATGGATATTTTGTAAGACACTTTCAAAATTCTACGTTATAGGTTTTTGGAAGTTAAGTTTTTCTTTTCAATTCATGAACTATAATAAATACTATTTAATTAAAAGTCTTTTCTTGCTAAACCTTTGTCCTATAAATTGAGTTTCTTTTGGTTGAAAAGACAAGCACTCAAAAAAACTTACTTTCCTTTGAAAACACATTTGTGAGACATTAATCAAAAGGTGAAATCACCAATTCAAGATAGAAGAGCAACATTCTTGAATGCTACTAGCTTATTGTGTGTCTTAGTTGAATCCCAGAGATAGAGTTGTTATTTATTCTTCCGTTTGCTCGTGGGAGATACTCCAACTATCTTCAAGAAATGTATTAACGTACCTCTAAGCCAAATAAGTTTTGTTTTGGACTCCTTGTATTTTTATCATTCTTGTTCAGTTGTTCTAACAAAAGAAGCAAACAAGAATTGGAACAAAAGAGAATAATACATATTTTCATGATTGTTTCTATATAAAAAAAATGCATAATACATAAATGTGCCATTTAACGTAACCTCATTTTATATCAATGACCTTTAACTTTGGGTGTGCACAAATAGACAGTTAAACTTGTATAAAAATTGAACAACTAGACACACAAGTCCTATGTAACATAATACATGCAGGACACCACGTATGATACAAATGATTATGTAGGATGCCATACAAGAGTTATGACACGTGTGCCTATTTATTCAACTTCATACAAATTTAATTGTCTCATTGTACACTTTCTAAGTTGGAGACATAAATATGATCTAAGACCAAATTAAATGACATATTTATGTATTTGCCTAATAAAATATCATCCTTAATTAGAAGTGTGGTTTAAGTCATACACGACCCCTTAAAGTTGTCCGCATTTTTCATTTAGACACCTCAATTTAGCCTTGTACCTATCAAACACTTAAATCTTAATAAATTTATACCTATTTGACACAAAATCACAATAAGTTGAAAAATAAATATGCGTGTGTTTCAAACGCCTGTACATAACAAACATACCAATAAAATGATGACATGTGACATTGAATCAACTTTTTAAAAAACTCTATTTTAATAATCCAAAATGAATGAATATTAAGAAAATAAAATTTTATTATTTTGAATTACCCTCCCCACCCGTCTTCTTCTTCAGAACCTATTTCCATAGAACCTATTTCCATGGCCCTTCCATTGACGCCGACGCCAACACCGGCTGCCTAGAAAACCATTACCCGGCCTCCTTCCCCCCCCCCCCCCCCCCCTTGAATCAACCCACATCTTTCTTTCCACCATCGAATCTTACTCCTTTCATTAGCGTCGGTAGTACACCATTACTGTCCACCTAAGCTAAATACTCATTCTCTTTCATTTTAATAGCATCAAAACCTTCTATTCATTGTCTTTATCTTTTTCCAATTAGTAATCATTAATCACAATTACAACAGATAATAATAAACTTTTACCCGAAAAATTCAATTCATATTAGCTTCACCGGAATATTGAAGATGTAGATCTACATAAAAAAAGAAAAAAGAAGAAGAGAAGAATTGGAGAGGATGAGAGAAAGAGAGAGGTGGTGGGGGTGGGGAGGGGTGGTGTGTGTTGTGTAAAAAAAATTATGAATGAGAATGGCACAGGGAATTAGGCTGGGGAAGAAGACTACTTTTTAAAAAAAATATTTTTTTCCTTTCCGTTAATTTTGGTATATAAGTTACAAAAAAAATAATCAATTTCAATAGTTTTACGCGCGCTAAAGAGAGTGTAGCACACATTTTTTGACATGTCAGTATTTTGTGTTTAATAGAAATGACTTTTGAACAAATAAAGTGTTCAATAGGCCAAAAAATAGGTTAAGGTATTCAAATGAAATATGCGAACAACTTTAAGGGGCTAGATATGACTTAAGCCTAGAAATAAATAAACTTTTATCACTCTATTTCTTCATATCCCAACACTTCTTTAATCAACAACTAAACAATTAAAGTACCTCGCAGAATTTATGTATTTATATACAGATAAAATAGTAGTAATTACGTTAGTTTTAATGGGTTAGGGAATAAAAAAATCAAATTAAACCGATAATCCAAAACATTTTAGCATTTTTTTCGATTTTATTTATTGATGGGTTTGAATTTTGCACGCCTTAGCTGAATTGCAGTGACAACGAAATCTTTGATACTTACTCTGAGGGTTCAATGGAGAAAAAATGTCCAACTTAGATTAGATAGAGAAAAAAACATTCTTTTGCCATTTTCCCTAAAAAACTCAAAGAATGGCAATGGCGTTTTCTCTGCAATTCAACAACCCCATCTCAACTTTTTCATGTTCTAACCTTTATAATGGGACTAGAACTCAACCCTTTAAATTCTTGTGTACTTCTTCTCCACAATCTGATTCTTCCAATAGCAAAGAAGAAGCTATTCAAGACTCATCTGGGTATATGGAAATTCTATTCTTTTTATTTTCTTTCACACTAAGATTGGTAATGAAGCTCCAAGCTCGAATGGGTTTGGGGGTTTGTTGATAATGGTGCATATTTGTAGACTAATCATCTATATCTTCTTAATTGAAGGGAAAATGATAAAGGGTATGTGATTCTGGTGGAGAAGTACAGGAATGGAACTTTGAAAAGGTATATCTTTTAACTCCTTTTCGACATTTTGCTTCATTAGTTAAGATTACTGATTGAATGCTACCTATAAAAAAAATGTGCTGATTGAATGATGGTCGAATGTGGAGATTACTTGGGACTATTTTAAAGTGAAATAGGATCCCGTGGAGTATTGGTGTGTAGTTGGGAATTGGTTGATAGGATATGGGGGACATTTGACTATTTTCTCGAGATTATTTCCTGATGTTTTACTAGTCTTGATTTCACCGATAATGGGTGTAGTTGTGGGTGCTTAATAATTCCTTGCTACGTTTGTTGTTTGAGTATGTGATCAAGAATGAATAGTCAGAGGTGGATCCACGATGTAAACATGATGAGTTCGACCTTAAGGTTTTTAGCACTGAACTCACTGCACCATTAGAAATTAGGATTATTGTTTCGAAAACTATTATTTATTAAAACTTTAGTAGTTTCACATACATGCCTACACTATGTGTCAAAAATAAAAAATTTCAGTTGAACCGGTAGTTGGAACACTATGTGAATAGCACTGTACCTTTGCAAAGTGTCATGAATAGTTATTGGTCTCTTGACTGTTTGAACATGTTAGTATTGATTTTTATGGATAGGTATGTTATAGATAATGACTCTGAAATGAAAATGTTTCTTGAGGAGCATGTACCCACGACTAGTAGATCCCAAGATCTTGATATCTCTGGCATGGAGTTATCTTGGCTCCCTAAGGTTATCAAGGATTTTGTGTTACCATCAGGTTTCCCAGGTAACAAACATCATATTGTTTGTTTCCATTTTCTTCTTCTCTTTGTTATTTCCCTTTCACCATATTTCTAGTTTTTTGTTTTCCTACATGCTGAGCGCCCGTTTGACCATTTATATTTTTTGTTATTAAGGGGACATAGGTGTTCTTTAGATGTCTTATATGAACTATCGTTGCAGATACAGTTTCAGATGATTACTTGGACTACATGTTGCTTCAGTTCCCAACCAATGTAACTGGATGGATCTGTCACACGCTGGTGACTTCAAGTCTCTTAAAGGCATGTCAATCTTATTCAGTCCATTAGTTCCACTTGGGTATGTTAAAGTGCTTGTAAAACCTGCAACTGCTTGCCAGGATCGTGACCTTCTAAATGAAAATCATTGACAAACTAATGAAACAAAGTCTAATATAATTTTACTTAATTAGCTTACAAATCGTTCTCTGCTCAGTGCCTCTCAATTTTATCTGCCTCTGGTCTCTCCTCTCACTTTTTTGCCTTTTGACACTTATCTTTGAGTTCTCCTCTCCTCCAGAAGGTTCATTGTTATTCAACTGTCAATTTATTTTTTTTAGTGATGCTGTCCCATGTATATATGTGAATCATGTTACAGTATTACACTTAATCCTAGTTATCTTGGGCTTAGGAGAACCCTGAGGGGTAGCTCAGCTGGTAAAGGCCTGGGACAAAGTCCTTCAGGTCGCCGGTTCGAGCCCCAGCAGGGCCACTGGAGGCATTACAAACCGGCCGCGTCTCCAGGGCCCCGTGGAACTAACCGTGGTGGACCCGCCTTGAAACAGCGGGACCCGGTGGGTACAGCTAGTCGGGTTCGCAAAGCGACGCCCGGAAACCACGGTAAAAAAAAATAATCTTGGGCTTAGGAGTTGCTAACATATTTTATGATAGTTGGATTCATGCTGACGTGCTTTCAGTTTGATTCTGACATATCCTGTACTGATTAATATCTAACATCCAGGCAGTTGGAGTGGGATCTTTCTCCGGAACTTCCGCAGCTGCTTCAGCTGCTGCTTCTGCTGCTGCCATCAGGTGCTGTTTATTTTCATCAGCTTTTTATCTGCATGCAATGTGGCCTTGACTTTAAGGAATTCAATATTTGCCTCATATGTTATTATAATTCACGCTGATTGCTTCTAGAAAACTTGGATAGCGTTGTGCTTTGAAGTTTTGAAAGTGCACTATAGTTTAGTGGTTATCCTATTGATTTTGCAGATGGGTTTCAAAGGATGGAATTGGTGCCCTTGGACGCTTTTTCATTGGTCTGGTAGTTTAAAATAAGTATAAGAACATAGTTAAGGACCTATCTGATTAAAATTGTTAGTAAAGACTGATGTCTTCCAGGTGGGCGGTTTGGCAATCTTTTTGATGATGATCCTAAACAATGGCGCATGTATGCAGATTTCATTGGCAGTGCAGGAAGGTATCACGAACTTTCGTCTTTCTTGGATACATCAAAGTTTATTGGTTCTAGTGAACTGATGATGTTGATTTCTTTTTGCAGTATATTTGATCTATGTACCCCTCTCTATCCATCTTATTTCCTACCCTTAGCATCACTTGGAAATCTTGCCAAGGTATTTAGCCAACAAAAAATATAGTTAGTCTTCATGCATCCCTAGGAAATGATACGATGAGCAGTACACTTTGTGTAGAAGTTCTCTATGAATCTGATATATATCTTTCTTTTCTCGAGTTGTGTACTAAGTCAATTTTTGATGTTTCTCAAGTGTTGGTATTTTTTAAGTAGGCTGTAGCAAGGGGGCTAAAGGACCCTTCATTCCGGGTTATACAAAACCACTTTGCTATCGCTGGAAATTTGGGAGACGTAGCAGCAAAGGTATTACTTGAATATTTCTGCCATAGATCAGATCTAGTGAACTGGATTTGCCGAATTTAATCTTCATATTATGTTTGAGTTCGATAGCATAGTTGTTTGTATGCTGGTATGCCTTTCCTTTCTTTATCCATAGTGGCTGAGCTTTTGTGGTGAATCAAGAAATTTTATCAATAAATATAGTTATAGTAACGGTAGATTTCAGCTCCATAAATGTGTTAAATTTGTAAGTTCCATATATTTTATCCCTCAGTGCTTTCTTCCGCAGGACGGCCAATGTGTAGTTTCTTTGAATTCTCTAATTTACAAGTTTGTGTATGTATTTTAGTATTTCATAAGATTATTAATGGTTCAAACTTGGATTAAGGAGGGTCATGGCAGTTTGTTGACCAGCGTAAAAATAATCTAACTATTGAGTTCCGGTTAGAGATGTATGTCCCAAAATGTTTAAATATGAACTTCAGAGAAACCGTTCTTGATAAATTTTCTAGTATTGGGATGAAATAGCCCTAATTATTGATATTAATATAATTGTTTGAGTGAAAGGTCAAAAACACACCTAAAGTATCCCGGTTTTCTGAGTTTCACGGGAACTATCAGGTGTGCGAGGTAAGACTTACCTGAATAAATCACCAAATGTTTATCAAACACATCTCAAGTATCAGTTGTTTACTTTTCCTACCTGAACGATGGTGATGTTTCAGGTAGGAAAAGGAAACTGTGTTTTTGATAAATAGTTGGTAATAGTTCAGGTAGGAAAAGTAAACACCTAATAGTTCGGCAGGAAACTCAAAAAACTGGGATTTTTTAGGTGTGTTTTTGGTCCTTCACTCTCGTAATGCTTTTGTTTGATAATTTATGGATTTCTCCTTGTAACATTTCTGAATAACTTAATATTGATGACAGGAGGAAGTCTGGGAAGTAGCAGCTGAGCTGCTAGGTCTTTCTCTTGGCATACTAGCTTTGGTACGACATATGTTTGTTTTATATGGTTTGAAGCTAGGTCCGTCCCATCATATGATAACTTTCCTCAGCCAATATAATAGTCATCTTTTCCATAATTGCAGATTTAGATCTTACCTTTTCTTCTGAAAATGTAATGCAGGATACTCCTAATATCTCAAAGTCTTATCCTACATTGGCACTAACATGGTTAAGTGTGCGGATCCTACATCTTTGGTTTCGCTATCAGTCTCTTTCAGTTCTGCAGTTCAACACGGTGAGACTTAATTCTTAGTTATCAGTATACTGAATAGCCATTTTGACTTGCCACAAAATATGTAGGGAACATTCGATATTTGACACTACTATCAAGTAATGTTTTATTTCCTCAACACTTTGTCTTCTCATCTTCATCTATTTTTGTGGACCCTGAGCGTAAGTTAATGGCAAGATGCCATTCACCTATTTAATAGACCACAATCCCCAAATGTTTGATATATTGGCCTATCAGATTTCTGATTTTGTTTAGACAATTCGACTTCCAAAAGCTTTCTTTCTCCATATATAGGGCACAACTATGCTAGTACAACAAATGATAATGAAGCAGGGAATTGGAATTAAGCAACAATCTTCTGAATTTTCCTTGGCTTGTTGACTTCTGATTACTCTGTTTTTGTGCAGATAAATCTCAAACGGGCTCGCATATTAGTGAACTCTCATGTTTTACACTGTACAGTTCCAGGTAAACTCAGTCTTGTTTTCTGTGCAATCTTTAACTCTATGCGGTAAGTCAGGCCTGTTACTCCATGTGGACCAGGAATCAATGAATGCAATAGGATGGAGAGCATCTTATTGTGGGAAAGATTCTTAAGGCCACAAATTATTTTTGAGATATCTTTGGAGGAGATGATCAATGGGGGCAAATACAGATCCATGGTATAGCCTTCTTTGTCCCATATATAATAGCAGAATAATGTCAGTTTCATGAAGTCAAGTGAACTGTTCATAGAATCAGAAAACGGATTCAGAGAACTTTTGGATTTGTACGACTATTTAAAGAAATCATAATTGTGACAGTATTCTTGAAAGGTGATGTTTGATTAATTCTTTGCAGCAAATCAAGCAACTCCTTCATATGTACAAGGAGGAAAAATATTTTCTTGTAGTAAATCAACAAATGCCAATAGATTTTCAGGTTTTTGTATCTTTCAAGGTATGCACTAATTATACTCTGCTTAAGACACAGATCTCTCACTTCACTTGCAATGCTTACGTCTCTTCTCACTTCCCCGCAGGAAGGTGCCACAAGCATATCCGTGTTTCGAAGTGTATGGCAAACCTATTGGCTATATCAAAACTGGGGCTGGTCAGATAATATCTTTGATCGACTTGAACAGAGCTTGGTCGAATTGAGAGATAGATTTCCTGATCTATTACAACAACTAACTGATGCTGGATGGGATACAAATAATTTAAGTTTAAAGGTCCCAAAAGAAATGTTGATCAGCGAGCTGAGTTAATTTCACATATGGCCACTGAGTTTTATCCACTACAACAGTAAACCTACTGTTACAGTGAGTAAAGTTAAGTAACCATACGTGAAATTAACTCTTCCTGCAGCGTAACACCTGTCTGCAGTTGATCATACTCCAAAGTCCTTGCACTAACTTTTTTTGCCTGTTTGATGGGTCGTCGTCTCAAGTTTACATTCACTGTGTCCCTTTTGCTATTGGATGACAAATTTTCGATGGCCTCGTCTTCTTGGAAGGGATCGATGCACAATCGGAGTCAATTTTATTGTTATAGTAATAAATATTCTTGGTAAATTTTTCTGCAGTTGGAGGAAAATGCTGCTGGCAAATGAGATAATTTGTACATGTTCAGGAATACCATATTATGTCTTTCTTTTTGTGCTAATAAATATAGGTTGACTTATGTGAAATTTAGAAGGAAGTTGTCGTCCTTGTTACTTGTATCAATAATATTTGTGCAAGTTTATTTTTATGGAAAAGGGCTAAAGTTACCCTCAAACTATTCGAAATAGCTCACATTTACCCTTTGTTTGTTTTGGTATAAAAAATATCCTTTCCGTCTACCCTCATGATGTTAGCGCATAAACCATTATGACAGTCAAGCATGGCAAAAAGGGGGCAAAATTGCCCTTGAACTATAGAAATAACTCAATTTTACCCTTTATTTGCTTTTGGTGTAAAAAATACTCTTGTCTTGTAGTTTTTTGGTGCATTTAATTGGAACCATTTTCTTTTGTTGGTCTTTTTTAGTGGGTTTAATAGTTTATTTTAATGCCAATTTTAGAATCTTTTTTAAAAATTATAGGTTCAACTAAAAGTTTTCAACTTCAAATGAATATAAGAACTAGGAAAAGAAAGAATTATTTTAAATTAAGATATATTTTGAAACCATCACAAATTTGATTCGAATTCAAAATTATACCAAATTTTGTGAAATGAGATTTATGGATGTTTGTTTTGGAAATTGAATCTTGTGCTGAAATATATATTACATCGACATAGACATTCATGCACATTAATCTAGGGTATTCTCGGTAAGATGTTGCATCTAGAGCATTTCATTTTAGTGTTGTCTGGTAAATGGATTTCGCGAGTCCCTCATGAGTCCCGACTATCTGATTAGGGATACAGGTCTATGAACTCATTCCTTCTATAAAGCTTGATCAGATATGCGTGTATCTAGTTATTCAACTTTATACAAGTTTAAGTGTCTACTTGTGCCTTTAACTTGACCTCATTTCACATATATGCCCTCAACTTTGGTTGTGCACAAGTAGACACTTAAAGTTGTATAAAGTTGATTAAGTAGACTTATGAGTCCTAGCTATGTGACATAATACAACGTATGACACCACATAGTATGCAAATTGACATGTAGAATGTCACATAAGACGTGTGTGTCTATTTGTTCAACTTTATACAAGTTTAAGTGTCTAGTTGTGCACACCCAAAGTTGGAGAGCATATATATGAGTTGAGACCAAGTTAAAAGACATATTTATGTATGACATAATAAATAAACATGACCCTTAACTTGGCGTCAGGTGATAACTATGATTTTTAACTTTGGGTGTGCACAAGTAGACACTTAAACTTGTATAAAATTGAACAAATAGACACATTCGTCCTATATGACACCCTACATGGCAATTTTGTAACCTACGTGGCATCCTACATGTATTATGCCATGTATGACATGTGTGTCTACTTGTTCAATTTTATACAAGTTTCAGTGCCTATGTTAAAGTTTGCTTTTAGTTACTGCAGTAACTTTTAGCAAAATAAGTTATTTAGTTTGAATAAATTTGAATTTTGAATTTTAGTTAGTTTGTTTATGTTGTTGAGATATTTTAGGTTGTTTAAATTTCAAATTATGCAGATTATATTTTTATGTTGGCTATTTAAAGCCCTTCAATGCTTAATAAAATCATTGAAAGCTATTGAAAGTCATTTTAATCCATTGAGAGAAATTTTCAATCTTTTTGTGTTGTCCCATCTTTTTAAAAAACACCAACAGTGGTATCAGAGCTTCATTGATCTTAAGGGATCTGTGAAATCTTCCAAAGAACTACTATACATTTTTAACCCGTAAGGGCTACCTTTTTAACCCATCAAGGCTACTTTTTCAACCAGTGCTTTTTTCAACGCACGGGTTTTTCTGAATCAGTTTTTAACCAAAAATATGGCAAGCAACAGTTTCTCTTTGAATGCCCCACAAATTTTCACAGACGAAAACTATCAAATTTGGTCTGTGAGAATAAAACCATATTTTGAAACCTATGTGATATGTGAGGTTGTGATGGAAGAAAACCCCTTACAATCTCTCTCTGCAAATCATACAAAAGTTCAGATTAAAGCACGTTCAAAAAACTTCTACACAATACAATGTCATCACATGTGTTTTTGAAGAACAAAATCAAAAGAAGAAAAAAAAAAAGAAGAAATTTTGCAAGTTCAAAAACAATGAAAAAAATCCAGCATCAACTACCAAAGCAAAAATTGAGGAGGAACATTTTTTTCGATTGCAGTAACTAAAGCAAAGGAGGAGTGTTGAAGTTTGCTTTTAGTTACTGCAGTAACTTTTAGCAAAATAAGTTATTTAGTTTGAATAAATTTGAATTTTGAATTTTAGTTAGTTTGTTTATGTTGTTGAGATATTTTAGGTTATTTGAATTTCAAATTATGCAGATTACATTTTTATGTTGGCTATTTAAAGCCCCTCAATGCTTAATAAAATCATTGAAAGCTATTGAAAGTCATTTCAATCCATTGAGAGAAATTTTCAATCTTTTTGTGTTGTCCCATCTTTTTAAAAAACACCAACAACCTACTTGTGAATACTCAAAATTGGAGGGCATAGTTGTTCGTTGAAGTCAAGTTAAGAGTCATGTTTATGTATTATATATGCCTTTATGTATTGTGCTTAATGCGTTGTTAAATTTGTTATCTTAATTTAATTGCATGCTTTGAATGAATACGCATGAATGTCTATTAGAAGTACTATATTTTAACTCCAAAAAAAAAGTTTACAAAATTTTCTTTTTTTATCGTTGATGCAAGTAAACAAGCTTTTTTTTTATTGTACTGGTATTGATTAATGTTTTGAGAGTTGTGGATATTGAGTTCTAATATCTCCACTATAAAAAAGAAAAAAGAAAAAAAGTTAAGGTTGTTATGATCATAGTCGAGTTTTTTCTTCTTTTTTTTTCAAAAATATTTTGAAGAGAAATGGTGCAATGATAGAGTAGAAATCATAATCCTCTTTGTTAGGTACTCAAATTCAAGAATCAATTTAGACCTTCAAACTTTAAGTAGATATACACTAGGGTGATTAGTCATTTCTTTATTATATTAGATATTAACTATGATTAGATTTTAAATTCATTATTGTAATTGTCTTCATCCCTAAATATGCTCGGTTGAAAATTGAAATCATGCTATCAGAATTTCTTGACATAAGATCATTTTCAAATCACCTCTAGCTATTATGGACGGACTAAATATGGATTGAAATGCCAAGAAGCTCCACTTTCTCATGACTATGCTTTTCGTTGTGTTTATATAATTGTTGTTAGTTAATTATATATTTTCAATTGTCAATTCTTGAATATTGAATTGTTATAATCTCTTATTTTAAATTTGTTACTATCCTCAATTATTGACTTTTGAATGCTATAGTATCTTGTTTTAAGGTTCTTCTTATCCTCAATTCATGAATCTTGATTACTGTAATCTTAATCATATATTAAATAGTTCATAGCCTATACCCACCCATATTTTCTCTTCCATTTACTTTCATTATCGCCAAAACATTTCAGCACTTAATTCACACTGAGGTTGGTGTTAATCTTTTCTTTTAGAGTTTTTTGTGAAAAAAGCTCTTTCTTGATATAAATCTTCTTGCATTAATTTTTTTCTATGCTATATTTTTTGTCTTTGAATTTTGATTTTGTTGAAATCTAACCATAATTTATTATAGATTATCTCTTTAAATTTCTATATAATTAGATCTCTAGATTTAACTGTACAAATATGGAAAGGAAGGGAAGAATGTTAAGAGGATATGAACTAGGATTACTTATTCTAAAGAGGTCTAAAAGCTTCATCCATTGCCTTTTTCCTATTTTTATTCACGAACAAAATTGCTTTAGAATATTATCCAAGAGATTATTCTTATTCCATTTTAAGTATTTTTTATTGTAACTATTATAATCTATACCTTAGAAATTTTCGTCTTTATTGAATTCAACTATTTTTGCACACACTTTTCTGTTGTATTAATATTTTTCTAATTTTGCATCTTTGAACTTAATGTATGAGAGCATGTGGAGTCCGATACTTAATTATTTCTGCCCCTTCTCCTTGCTCCTTGTAAGATTCATTTATGTCCTCCCCCATTTTGTGCTCCTTTTAAGATTTATTTATGTAATTGTATATTAGTATGTCATAATTTTCTATATTATTTACTATGTAGCTGAATTATAAGTTTTTGATTTTATAGACGATTGAAGATTTTTTATGTTGTCTATTTAAAAAAATATTTGTCATACTTGAGGCAAATATTATTTTGCCTTTTGTTAATTAAATAATTATAATTTAATATCGATACAAGTAACTTTAAAAATATTTCACATCATTATTAAATGAGATAATTTTTTCCATATGATATATAGTAAGGAATATTTTCATGAACTACTATAATTTTACCACTACCTATACAAGTAGCTCTAGAGTCTAGAGATGCATTTAGAATTTCAGTGAAATATGACTATTCTATAGTGAAAGTAAACAACTTTTACTTAATGAAATTGTAACTTTGAAACTATTTTATTATACACTCCTTCCAATAGTTATGCATTAACCTTTTTTTTTTTTTCAAAAAGTATTTTGAAAAACAATGGTGCAATGATAGAGTAAAAACCATAATATAATCCACTTTCTTAGATACTCAAATTCAAGAATCAATTTAGACCTCCAAACTTTAAGTAGATATACCACTAGAATCTTTGGGTTGATTAGTCATCTCTTTATTATATTAGATATTAACTATGATTAAATTTTAAATTCATTGTTGTAATTGTCTATTTATTCC